GTGAGGTGGACCCATCCTCGCCCGATAATTTTTTTGCCTCGTTTACAGGATTTGATTCTATGGATGACCCTTTAACACAGTATGCCGCTAATCTTCCTTGTCCTACTCAGGATGGGGTTCATTTTCTTTCTGAACCAGAGGCCTCGCAAGTCTCTGAGGAATCTGCATTTATTGCAGAATTGTTTTCTACATCTGCCCCTCCTCCGGATGTGGTAGAATTTTCTGAGTAGATCTTATTGATCTTAGAATCACCATAGTTTAAAATTTCTTGTGTTTTATTTATTTTATTTTATTTATTTCACAATGGCGAATCAATCGTTTTCTATTCTCACATTGAATATTCAAGGCCTTCGGGCTCCTCATCATCGTACAACCTTGTTCTCATGGTTGAACTGCGTTCATGCTGACATTATTTGCCTCCAGGAAACTCATTCAACGACTGTTGCCGAATTTGAGTCATGGGTTCGCTTGGAAAATAATGCTGGTAATAATCTCCAACACTACTCCGTCATTTCATCTCCTGGATCGGTGCGTAGTGCTGGAGTTGCTATCCTTTTTAAGCCTTCCTTGAAGCTTGTTACTACCTTTCATGATAATGCTGGCCGTCTCGTGATTGCTCACTTTTCTGACCCTTCTTGTGATTCTTCTCCCTTTCAAGTTGTTAATATTTACGGGCCCAACCGTCGTCAACCTGGTGAAGATTTCTTTACGTCAATTCTACCGCAGATTGATCCTTCTCTTCCCACTTTTTTGTGTGGTGACTTTAATACGGTTGTTGACCCTCATATTGATCGTAGGGGCTGTAATCCCTCGTCGTATTGGGCATACAATTGGCCGCAGTCTTTGTCCCTTTTAACATCGCAATTAGATTTGGTTGATGCTTGGCGAAATCGTCATCCTACGGATCGCCATTTTACTTGGCATCGCCCCTGTGGTTCACAAGCTTCACGTTTAGACATGGTTTGGATCTCTTCTAATCTTTTAGAACATGTTCATCAAGTTGAGATTCTGCCCTTTTTCAGGTCGGACCACTCTTATGTTTTCCTTAGCATTTCTTTGCCATCCATACCAACACGGGGTCCGGGAACATGGAAACTCAACTCTTCTTTGTTAACTGATGAAGATTACATTGCGGAAGTTCGTGTCTTTTGGCAAATGTGGCAACAACAAAAAGCTTCCTTCCCATCCTTGGCCGTTTGGTGGGATGATGGGAAAAAACGAATTAAGGCACTTTCTCGTAGATTTTCGTCTTGTACAGCTCGTGCTTGTCGTGGCCAAATTAAATCTTTGGAAACTTGTTTATTTCATCTTGAACATCGTAAGCATAATGGGGAGGATGTTGATGCCTTGCTGTCGCAGACCAAGACTGATCTTGAACTCGAACTTTTACACTCTGCTGCAGGTGCTAAGATACGTGCCAAAGAACAATGGGCTGAGGAAGGTGAAACATCCTCGAAGTATTTTTTCCAACTGGAAAAGTCTCGGGCTGTTAAGAAAGTATTCACTGGCATTAAAAACTCACAGAATGTGGTAGTCCGTTCAATTTCAGCAATCATTCGTGTTTGGATTTTATTCTATGTCCAACTTTTCACTGCCTCTGTGCTTGTTCCTAGTGACCAGGATTTTTTTATCAACTCATTAGATCTTTCTTTGTCCCGAGCTGACGCTGATCTTTGCGATGGTTTGATTACAGAGGCCGAATGTTCACATGCGCTTTCTCAGATGCGTCATAACAAGTCTCCTGGTATAGATGGTCTGCCATACGAGTTTTATTCTTGTTTCTGGCCTATCCTAGGCACTGATCTTCTCTCTGTTTACAACAATAGTTTTTCACTTGGTCGTCTTTCTTTTTCCCAACGAACGGGATTAATCACCCTCCTGTTTAAGAAAGGGGATCGTTTAGAGACAAAGAATTGGCGTCCAATCTCATTACTTTGCACAGATTATAAGATTTTGGCAAAAGTCCTTACCAACCGTCTTCTCCATGTCCTTCCTTCTGTTGTACACCCTGATCAAACTTGTGGTGTTCCTGGCCGTTTTTCCAGTGAAAATGTCCGTACCCTCAAAGATATTATTAGTCAAGCTAACCAGACCAACTCCGCTGCAGCCATTATTTCTCTGGATCAAGAGAAAGCTTTTGATCGTGTCGATTGGTCCTTTAAGTTGCGCGTTTTGGACAAAATGAATTTCGGCGTTTCCTTTCGATCTTGGGTTAAGTTGCTCTATACAGATATTTTTTCTAGCATCTTGATTAACAACTATGTTAGTGAACTTTTCCCTGTTACTCGAGGTGTCAGACAGGGATGTCCTCTGTCCCCTCTCTTGTACGTCTTGGTCGCGGAAACAATTGCTAGCGCTATTCGCAAGGATTCGTCCATTGATGGCTATTTACTCCCGGCTGGTCGTCGGATTAAAGTTTTTCAGTACGCAGATGACACAAGTATAATGGTTCAATCTGATAATTCTATTCGTGCTCTTTTTTCCTTGTTCGACCGCTACGAAAGGGCGTCGGGTGCAAAGCTTAATGTTACCAAATCACATGGTCTTTTGATTGGTTCATGGAAACATCGCACTGATCTTCCGGTTCCATTAAACTGGTCTAATATTTCCGTTACAGTGCTTGGGTGTCATCTCGGTAATGATTTATCGGTGGATTGGGATTCTTTGATTGTAAAATTTGAGGATCAATTACGCCTTTGGAAACATCGTCAGCTCTCATTCCGTGGTCGTGCTCTCATTGCAAACAGTCTTGGGTTGAGTGCTTTTTGGTATCAAGCTACTATTTTTGATGTCCCTAACCTAATTGTCAAACACATCAACAAGATCTTGTTTCCCTTTGTGTGGAATAAGAAGAAAGAGTGGATGGCACGGTCTTCTGTTACCCAACCTCTAACTGCTGGCGGCCTAGGGTTGGTGGAGGTGTCACGTAAAATCACATGTCTTCGTGCTGTTTGGCTTCGTCGTCATTTTTCTGGTAGTGTCCATCATTCGTGGTCCAGCTTTTTTGAGCATCATGTTTCTTTAGTTTTTCCCAACCATGATGTGGCCTCTTTGTTTGTGTGTGATCACATCCCTGCCTATCGAATCAAGCGCCTCCCTCCCTTTTATGCCTCATTGGTGCGCACATGGGTGGACTTAAAAGGTTCAAGAGTTGGTCAGCAATGGATCGTTCCTCGTCCTGGTCTTGATCCCCTCCCTGTTGGAGAGGTGTCGGCCCGGATCAGTTATTCTCTTCTTTCTCAGTACCAACATACAGAGCATCGATCTGTGGCCAAGTTTACTGATCTTGGTATTACCGTCCATTGGAAGGAGGTCTGGGTCGGCCTTTGCCTCTGGAGATTTGTTCGATCTGTTCAGGATACCGCATGGCTATCATTTCATGGCATTCTTCCTACAGCTGATCGCCTGGTTCGTTTTGGGATGAACATCAATCCTTCGTGTTTCTGTGGTCAACCTGAGAATTTAATTCACCTTTTTGTCCAATGTCCATTTGCTACGGAGATCCTTCAATGGTTTCTTGTCCGTTTCGTAACTGGAAACCGGCGGCGGTTCTTACCGATGCAGAGATTTTGTTTGGGTTCTCAGCTACCTCTCGTGTTCCTTTGGTCTTTACTGCTTTGTTGGGCGTCCTGCGTCATCACATCTGGTTGGCCCGCAATAGTCATCGTTTTGATGGTGTTGCTCCAAATGTCCCCAACACCCTTCGGAAAGCTCGATCCACATTTCGGTTCCTAGTTCGAATGCATCGGCGTCATTGTCGTCCACCTGATCATTTTGTTAGCGAGTGGCTTGTCGGTGGCATCATTGGATCAGTCACAGAACAGGACTGGATTCGTTTTACTCGGGATTTCATCACCTGAATGCCTTCCTTCCTTGCGATTCTTTGGAGGCACGGGGGTCGCCTTTATTGGATGTACTGCTGTTGTCTTCAAAGTTCTCTCGTTTGTTTTGTTTATGTCATTTCAGTTACATTTGGTGTTTCCCTCTGCATACGGCGGTCACCTTCTTTGGCTGTACTGCCTGTATTCAGGGGGATTGACTGTTTTGTTAGTATTTTGTTTGTCACTGTCATTTGTTTCAGGGAGCAGTTGTTTCCTCTTTGGTAATTTCTGTCTTCCTCTAAATTTTTGTCCCATGGTTCGCATCGACTTTGTCCTTGTGGGTTGCATGGGAATTCAATTTTCCTTCGATCTTAATTCACCAGTGGGTTGTTCATGTCGACATCATGTTTCAGTTAACATCATTTCCCAAACCATTCACCATCATAGGTTTAGGGATCCCTGGATGTGACGATGCTTGCATCTGATCGTTCAGACCATTCATGGATGTCTCATGGCACGGGGGAGAGGATCGTACTCTCTGTTGTCTGCTTGCTGTGTAGCAACCCCCTGGGTGCGGCGATATCACGGGTCCAGGCTCCATTGCACCGTCAGAGTCGATAAGCCCTTCGTCGTTCAACTCAAAATAAGATCAAGTGTAGTATCTGTTCTTATCAGCTTAATATCTGATATGTTAGGCAATGCCTAACTCATATATTAAACTGATTTTTGGACTTCGGCCATGGAATTGAAGCTTGCTTCGCCCTGGCCACGGGTTGTCTCGGTATTGCACTACATCCGAGTACGGCCCCTTCCCCACTCGGGGAAGAACATTTCTTTTATTTCAAAAACAAATCAAACTATAAAGCAATCTCTAGATTTATTAAGCGATTACACACACACTTAAGGCTTTTCACATGCCGATAGATTATTAACACAATACTCGAATACCACGCGAAATAATCACGGCTTTCTCATTCATATATAACATACATATCATATGACTTGTAACACTTTATTATTATCCTATGTCGATATTATACACCTTGTGAGCGCGTGCTTTCATTCAACTATGAACCGAATCAACTATATATAATTTTACTAACATACTTTTTCATTCTCTAGATCGGCACATGACGTTCAAGACAAGAGGGAAACCCCCAAACTACCACAATCGCGTCTCAACATCATCGCGTATATAAGGTGAGCGGTGGAAACAACAGCATACTTACCTGAAGCGAGAGGCACCTTGATCAACTAGGAGGTCCTCTCAGGATGAGGCCCTTTCATTGCACTTCGACTGGGTTGACTCCTGCGATTACCCCTAATGTGGGTAACTCGAGCGTATAATTTGTGGTAGTGGGGACCTGCGTTCGCACTCGTCCCCTTCAACATATAATAGAAATGTATAAAA